TACATTCTCTTGCTTTAATTCTCATATTCTAACAGGATAAATACGTTGAATGTATTAGCTTGAAAATCAGTCCTCATTTCAGCATGTCTCTTTTATTTATTTCTTAGAAAGCTGAATTTCATTCATTATTCTAGTGATTTCCTGAAGGTGGTTTCATGAGAGTAACAGTCCCTGAGTTCTTGCATGTTCAACATTGTTTATTCCCATTGTACTTGAAGAACTATTTAGCTAAGAAAAAAAAAAAGAAAAGAAAAGAAAACTGTAGCTCTCACTCTATTTTCTGTGGTTTCTTGTAAGCTATATTCCACTGATATTGAATGACCCGATTCCAACTAAAGTTGCAGTGAAGACTTCTGAGGCCAGTATCAGTATTTTTTTTTAATAAGTTACTGATTGTTTTTGCCTGCATGCCTAAGAATTTCTTTTTTATATTTAAATTCTAGTTACTGTTCTAGGACACATCTCAGTGTTGACGATTCTGGGACCATTTTGCCTGGTAATCGTTTTTTGTTTTCAAAGTGAAATTTCAAGTCCTCTTTCATTTGAAGAATGTTTCTTTCTTTAATAATATATTTACCTGTTTCTTTTCCCTTCAGTTCTTTCTTTTCTCTAATTATGTATCTACTGGATTCCCATTCCCTATCGTGTCCATCTTTCATATTCTCTCTAATCCTGTGTATTTTTTTCTTTACTTGCATTTCATTTTGTTAGCCTTTGTTATTTCAGTCTCTTCTTTTTCTTACTGTGTCTATCTCAGTGTCCATTTTACCTTGTAATTCCTCCATTTTTATTCCTAATTCATGAAGGTATCTTTTTCGTCTCTTCTTTTCTGAGTTCCCCCAGCTATGTGTCACCAGATCCTATTGTCTCTAATCATCCCTTCCCAAGCTCTTGCATTTGTACCTTGTATTTTTCATTTACCGAGGCAATTCCTTCATTATGCCTTTTTGAAAATTCCTGCCATAATGTTAGAACAAATTTCTCAAATTCTCCATGACAACATTATTATGGTGTGTGTTCTTCAACAATTGATACATTTTACTACTCCTTTGCAAGTCTTTTCCTATACTACTCTTGTATTGACAATGTGTCCATTCTTTTTTCAATAACTCATATATAACTGAGTTAAATTTTTCTCATCTAGATTATTCAGAAAAGAAGAGGTAAAATAACATCTAGGGCTTTCAAAGGGTTTCTCTTCACTGCTGCTGCAGAGATAGACTGTTTTCTACAAATATCACTCCTCTGTCTAATTTTTGTATATCCCACCATTACTTCCTGCAAGACACATCCAAGTGGGCTTCTTCCATTAGCCACACTGAGTGTTGCAAATTCCAATTCCTACACTGCTTGGTGCAAACAAGAAATACAGGTTTCATAAGTTACAGTAAGACACTGACCTTCGGGAATTGTATTTCCGTTGGTTTCCTGAGATCAGCCACAATTGAGTCCTCTACACCTGTCATGTTTCTTTCTTTCCTCCTTTTGCAGCTATACCCCAATTCCACTTCCTGAATCCACTGTTGTAACCAATGGAAATCAATTTTGTTCTTCTGAGTCAAAGTCTCACTTTCCAAAAGCTGTTTTTTGTTTTGTTTTTTGGTTCATTCTCAAATTAGGTGTCATTTGGCCCACTCTCTGACCTTCCTTCTTTCTCTTCTGAGACTTCTGGTTGATCTCAGCAGTACTGGAATCTCATATTTAAATTTTGGAAACCACAGATTACCTATCTTAAGATTTTACTGAAAAAAAATTTGTGAGCTTTTTTTTTATTTATTTCTTTTGATTCTTTCCTTGTTCCTTTGGTACATTCTCTGGAAGGAAAGAAGGAAAACTACTAATTTTTGCCATCCTCTTCATCCTCTTCAGTTCATATATTCAGCAGTGCTACTCATACATATCTTATAGTATATATACAATTTTTCAGAAGTGTCTGCAACCTCAGAAACATTTATTATTCTCTGTTTTCTCACTTTGAATAAAAACAGATGCTTATTTTTTAAAGTTAAGACTCACCAAAATTTTCACTTGCCTAAAAAATATCCATTGTGTTCTGTTACTACAACAAATATGACTTACTTAACTAGCCCTTCAACTTTCCTCTTTTCTTCAACAACTCATAAGAACTGGTTATAGCAGAGGTTCATAATCTATCTTCCTTTATTCCTAATGTTTTTAATGCCTATAATTTAATTATTAAATATTTCTTCTTTATGCTTGGAATTAATCAAGATCATCATTATTACTAGAACATCTTTCTTAGTGATAAAGCTTTTCTATTGTATCGCTGGACTCTTAAGTCTCACAAGGGCACAGTTAGCAATTTTCTTAACTGTGATATCCCTGGGGCCTAACACATTGCCTGCCTAAAGGGAGTGCTCATTGAATATGTGTCCAATAAACAGAGCAATTATATTTCCTTTGCTAACCAATATCTGGCACTTATGCAGTATCAGTTCAAAGACAGGGTTTTGGATCTTTCTTATTTTAGAAAAATTTCAGCATGAGAATTTGTTTTAAACTAAATAAATTCAAAGGGTCAGTGTTTAATATTGTTTTTATTTTATTAATTAATTTTTCCATGGTGTAACGCATAACACAGTACAACAGTAATAGACATGTAGATGGGGAAGGAAATATAAAAGGGAGAGACAATGCTGTAGCAAAGGTGACAGGGAAGTTTTCTCCCAGCCTCAGAATCTAAATTGAAGTGCAATACCTTCAGCAGGAGAGTTCAATGCCATTCCATTCTTATCATCCTGCTCTAGTCTTTGGTGGGCCAAGTGGTAGGGGATGTAAGCTGGAGGGAGGAGTTAGAAGTTTGCTTGCTCTACTTTAAACATCACCCCTTTCCTTTGCTTTGCTTTAAGGTATTAGAGTTTGCATATTTGTCTTTGCCACTTTAGAACCATAAAATGAGACTACAAGCTATTGCTTTGCAGTTTCATAATTAAATGTAGGAGGAAAATAGTAAAAACTCTCAAACGTAAATTACTTTAATAAGGAAGGGATGATAAATATTCTAAACAGAAATGAGAAAATAGAGATTTAATTAATTCTTGGTAACCATCCCCTGCCCAAGTAGCCTCTGGCATTTGCAAAATTTATTGTTCACCTCTGTAATATAGGCACCATTGAGAAGACTTAGTGAGCTGAATGAATAGTAGGTCTTTGCCAACCTTTTCTTTCTATGGTCTTTTTTGAAAGAATATCAGTGGGTGAATAAGCATGGGATGCCTTTGGATCTCTGGAGACAGTAACACATGCTTTTTAAAAGGGAGGCATATTTGAATAACTAGATGTTTGTTCCCTAAATAAGGAGATGCTTCTCTATTTCAGGTCATTAGGTAGATATTGAATCAAATATTTTCATTAGCAGATATACACAACAGGATAGATTCTAGCAAGTTGATAATGTCCAGTCTATCAAGTAATAGTTTACCTCCTACATTGTTTTTTCCTTCATGTGACTGTATATAGGAAAATCTAGAGGTTTTCATCAATATTTTGGTATGACCTATTGAATTGAAAACGTTTTTCTACATTGCATTTACAGTCAAGAGAGCACTTTTTAAAATATGAGAACATTTGTTATATAAGACACACTTATGTAAAGTGAAATGCCTACTTTATTTATTCTGAAGACTATGATCCTTTAGGCTTTTTTAAAAAATGAATCCACCAACTGAAAGATTACTTCATTTTATTTTTAAAGCAACACAACCAACCAGCCAAACAAAATCAGAATCTCTTTCCCTCCTAGGAATGTCTGGGAGTAATTAGCTCACTTCATGTGCCATGTTATTTGAGGAGAGTTTTACTAGACTTTTTTTTCTAGTCGTATTTTTTAGACACATAATCTGCTTACTCCCTGTCTATCCCCAATTATGACGTGAAAATTATAAAATAAAATTATGGCTCATGGAAATCAGTTAATAATGTCACAGTTGTTTTTATATTTACTGAATATGTGTTGATTCACCCTCTCTATCTCGTGCGTGTATCTGCCCTCAGTACAGTATCTATTTGCATGCGCCTCTTTGTAGTTTGCGAATATACAGGACCTATTTAGAGTCTAATAGAGCAAACGAAAATCCACAATAGGAAAGCGGGACCAACCCTAGGAAATGCAGGGGGAAATAAAAAGCTCTGTGTTAACGAGATCTAGAGATCTTTAGATCCCTAGGTTTTTAGGATGTAGAGAAAAGGGAGGAAGGAAACCAAGACAGAAGGTAATGGACTTTCAGTCACTATGCCCTTCACACTTACAACCTTCCCAGATCACTGAGGACACAGTCTGAGGCAATTGGGTCAAAACGATATATGTATATATTTCTTTTTTTTTTTTTTTTTACCTCGGTAGCTGTCCACCCGTGCCCCAGGCAACAGCTCCTAGGGGCAGGCGATGATTGCCGGCATTGAGCTCCCTGCTGGCGCCTTCTGGTGGGACAGCCGGTGCCAAAGAGCGCCCAGGGAAACAAACAGCAATGGGGGACTATACAGATGCCATGGATGCACATGTAGGATCATAATCTGTCCAGAAAGGTGAGAGAAGGAGGGCGACAGGCTACGGATCCGGGTCCAGGGGCCGCCGCAGTGGAGCGGGCGGCGGGGTGCGCGCACAGGTGCCACAGGCCGGTGGCGCCGAGAGCTGTAGCCGCTGTCTCCCGGACTCAGCACTTGCACCCGCGCAGTGAAGCCGCGGCTGCTGCCAAGCTTGGGTAACCCCCAGCCTGAGCCAAGAAAGGAAGAGCCCAAGGAAAGGGCGCGAAGGGGGAAGGAAGGTGGGGTAGAAGGAGGGCGGAGGAGAGACCCACTGCCTCATCTTCGATTTCCCCTCCCCTAGCTCATCTGGTGGGGACCTTTCTGGGCTCCTGTGCTCCTCCCTCCCCACCCCCTTAACTCTGGGAGAGCGTCTCCCCTCTCCCCTTGCTCACCCCCCCACCCTCCCTGCTCTTCCGCCCCTCCCTACCGCGTGCCTCTTCCCCTCCCCCCGCCACCCTCCCCTCCAGCGGCAGTAGCTGTAGCAGCTTCAGCGAAGCCGGAGATGGGCAGAGAGCGCGCGCGGCGCAGCAGCTCCAGATTCACTGCTCTCTCCTGCAGCTCCCGGCGCCCCTGCCGCTGTCGCCGCCTCGGTGTCCCCCGGCTCCAGTCCCGCTCTTAGGACAGCGCCGCCACCGCCGCCTGGCCCTGCCTGCCTCCTGCGCCGCGCAGCCCTCGCGCGCTCCCCGGATGGCGCTTTACCCCTAGGACCGGTGAGTAGGCGGGAGATTGCAGGGGGTCGGGCGTCAAAGCTTGGCGCGGAGAGAACCTGTTTTGATTTGGGAGGCACCCCAAACCACCTGCTGTGAATCCCCGTCCTCCGGGCAGAGGGTCTAGGGAGGGTGCTGCTCCGTGGTCCCCAAGGGGATGTTTGATTTCAACTCCACCTGCTGGCAACCTGAACCCCTCTCCCTCTCCGCTGCCTGGAGCTCGCAGTCCCGCCTCACCTTCCAGCCCCCAGGCTCCCACACTAGCAGCAGTAGACGGCCTCGAACCTCTGGTCACTTCAAACAGGGTCATCTCTACCCTTACCGTCCCTGCGTTTCCCCCTATGCCAGTGCGCAAACGCCCCCATCTGCCACCCTTCACCCGATCTCGCGCTGACAAAGCCTTCCCCACAAAGTCCGCCCTGACCCACCTTCCCTCCTTTCCCAAAGCCAGGCTCTCGAGCCCCACTGTCCCGTCGTATTTATTCCCAGTGAATTCTGACCTCATTCCCTCGGCACAATGGTGCCTTTCCAGATTTTTTGACAGTCACCTCAGGAAATTGACACAGACACGCTGTGATCCTGGCTCCTTACAATTACTTTGTGTGTTCTCAGCACCTGGGCTGTTCAGGGTATGATTAAGCATGAAAAAATAAAGACCAAAAAGCAAACCCTTGGGAACCAAACTTTTTGTTATTGTTGTTTTAAAGCGCCGAACTATTTGCATTGTTTAGGTTTGTTCTGTTCATTGAGAGGCGTCTTAGCTGAGTACAGGAAACACACCTATTTTACCTGTTCCTGCGGAATTTATCTTACTTGCAGGTTAAGAACGGAGGACCTGTCTGGGTGGTGAATCTCTTTCAGCAACCACACTATCAAAAGCTCAGCAACTCTTGAGGATAAGAAGCTTTTTTTTTTTTTTTGAAGGATATGAGAGTAGCACCAAACTTACCGTTTAAAATCTTCTTTGAAACTGCAATAAGCCAAAGCTCTTATTTTTCTTTAGGTGTAGTGGCTAATAGAGGTATATAGGAGGATTAGAAAACGTTGTACCAAGAAGGCCCTGCCCTACCTGGGTGCTTCAGGAGTTGTGTAGTATCTTAGCACCAGACGCTATTTCTGTTCGGTATTTTGCAGAAGTTTTCTTAGGGCAGTAGCCGTTTCTTCTGAAACCATGTTTACCATTTTATTATTTCTAGTTGGAGTGAGAGAAAATAGAGTTGTGTTCAATGAATGAATATGAACAATGGGGATGGAGGAATAAGTGAACATCGGGAGAAACCATTTAAATAATAAAGTGTGTACTCTCAATTTCCCACTTGTGGAAATCTTAAAAACAAAACTATCCCACACAATTTATGGTTTAATTTTTTAGAGAAATGATGAAAATGCACTCATTTCAACATGACATTCTACTACATAGAACCCTTGGTCATAGGGCTTGTGTTCTAAGCAATACGGATAAGAATATCCAGAAATAAATGTTAGAAACTTTAAAAGATGCTCCATTTAGGAATGTAGTGTGTTGATATAAATTTTCCCGGATTATTATTACTATAATTCGAGGGGTGTATGAATTAAAGTGTCATTCTTGCTCTTGCACTTGGTGGAGAGAGATGTACCCTCCTTCACCTTAAAGGAGCAAGTCTCCGGCTACACAAAAAAATAGGAAGGGAAAGTTGAGCTATTATCTAGGGAATTTGTCAGTGAATATTGCCTTTATTGCCTTAAAATCTTACCTTCTCCAGTGTCGGGAATTTTTGTTGGTTTCTTTTAATTCAAACTGTATCTGAGCTTTTATTTCCCTTTGTGTAGACATAGGCAGAAATACACTGAGCAAGTCCACTGAGAAGGGGTGGTTTTAAGTACATGTGGATAGCTACATTAAAAGTCAAGATGGGCTATGAATACTGACTTTATTGTTGGTTTTCTAAATTTGAAAATTTTAGTTGGTTAAATTTAGGGCGTGACTAAGAACGTTCAAAACTGTATTTAAACTTGAAGTTACTGCAAATATTCATATGTGGCCATGACGTGAGGATAGTAGATAAGCCAAGAGCTGAACCAAAAGGTTATTTGATTGTTTCCCTACATATGTTTAACATTTGGGTAACAGTGGGGTGATTGCTATGTACATTATGTCCAACAGTAATTAATCTGTATTGGAATGGATACATCCTAAATTAAAAGCAAGGAGTTATACTGACTTTGATCAGTTATTGCCTATAATTATGTTAATGATACATTAAAGTCAATGTATTCTAACATAATTCCAATTAACGTGAAAATATTAACAATTATCTATGACAATGCAAATAACTAGTCTCTCAAAGACTATGGCAGGAATTTCTATAAGGAATTATTGGTGAGCTGAAAGTCAAGAATATCTGTCAGGATTTAATGTCATTGTCACTGGTAAGAAAGGCTAAACAGTTAAATATAACATATGGGGAGATAAGGCACACCAATACTGGAAAGGCATATCTCTGAGTGCCATTGAACTGTATCTTATAATGCTCATAATTATATGCCACCTAGAGGATGATGGGTTTAAATTAAATATTTGCAATGTTAAATATAAATTAAACGTTATGAAGAAAAATGTAGAATTATGGAAATTATTTAGATTATTCCATCAACAAGTTGCCATTAGTTGACTGTTACATGTGAAACCATGTTTTACCTTGTGTGTGATGAAAAGAAAGAATGGCTGAGGAAGAGAAAGCTGCAGGAAGGAAAAGATAGAGGGAAAGGCTTCAGACTGACGGATACTGGCTTAAATTCTTTAATCAAGTTAGGGTAAATGAATACAAGTTCTATTATTTTGGCATTGGGAAAAACAACTGTTTTCCCACTTGAATTTTAGGAAGTAGTTCCTTAATTATAGCAATAAAAATACAAGTTTTTAAAAGTAAAGTCTTTTATTGGTTTTATTTAGTAAAATGTGAGCATCACAGGGAAACTATTTTGTGTAATCTAATTGATGAATTGAACAAAATAAAATTCCACACAAATTTACAAAAAAAAAAAATTATTTGAATAAAAAAGCACACATACTCACACTTCACACATACCTAAAACTAAATTATTAGATAAAGAGCTAAACAATTTAGTGTCTTATGAAGGCGAGAAGGTTCAGTCAAGTAATAACCACATACAATATTTTTATGCTTTAATATATATTTCTCATATTTTCTTTTTCATTGTGGTGGATATATTATTACATTTTATAAATATTTGCATTTTATTGATAAATTCCTGTCTCTGTATTATAAAATACAAATTTTATAAATTCAAATAATCCCCAAATAGCACTTGTGTCAAATTACTACATAAATGTTCATAATTTTGCTTTCTATCTTGCATTAAGGAAGGAGTATTTAGCAAAACGCAATCTCAAAGAGCAACTATGTAAAATGAATATTTCAAAACAAGCATGATAATTCATCCAAAGTTTTACAGCAATACTATAAAGTGATACTCTCATAAATAAACTCTAATGTATGATTAAAATTCCTAAGAGAAACATTTAAATTCTGTGATTTTTACCCATAACTGAATGTGTAAAATACAGTTGTATTCATTTAGCTACAAATGGAATGCTTGGCATTCTTAATAGAAGGATGCACAGAATTCAGATGTTGATTAGACATATAGAGAGCATTCAATTTCTATAACTCTACTAATGACTTGCTCAAGGTTTCAAAGTAGTTAACAGAAACAGAATTCAAATCCTAGTCTCCAGACTCCATGCTGTATTTGTCTTTCTATAAAATAAAACCCATTTTCCACTTCTTTTAAGATGTCAATAAAGGAGAAGTCAGTTTTAATGTTAAAAAATCTGAAAATAAAATAAAATAAAAGACCTGTGCTTCTTCAAGGATCATCTCAATGCTTAGCCTTCCAACACACCGTAGTTGAAGGTAACCAGTCAACCAGACTTTTCCATTTACTCCTACCTTCAGGCTAAAGCTTGGGAAATATTTAAAAATTTAACTGCAACTAGCCCAGCTAAAAATCTTTTAACATTTTTTCACAATTTTTATTACACGTTTCTCACTTATGCAGTGTAAGGTTTTTTAAGTTAATAGCGTGCCATGGATACTTCCATATAAACTTTTGTAGACAATTGACTGAAAAGTGTTCCTAAAAAACAGATTTAGTTTCTGTAAACTAAATACACTTATAGTTTCATCTCCATGCTGATAATATTTATGTCATCACAGAGAAAGTGTTGTATTCACATGCTTATTTTTTAATTTTTACCTCCATAGACTGTGAATAGCTCAGGTGGTCAAGGAAGGTAAATTTGTTTCACAAAGTTTCAAGCTCAGACATGAAAATTCTGGAAATTTTAGCTTTTTCTTCACTGATAGCCAGAGGGATCAATGAAAGTGAATGACTAAATCAATGGGAAACCATCATCATTACTGCGTAAAAAAATAAGCTCTCAAATATATTATTGGTGATGATGGCTCATGACCATCATTTCATCTAAGAAGAATAACATGGTGACATATTTAGATATCTCAATTACATTTTCTGAAACAACACTGCATTATCCAAACGTGCCTGAGTTGATGTAAGCTAGGGGAATCTGTGATCTTGTACTGGTGGGTGGCCCGTTCAAAAGCTGAGGTATTGATCTTAGGCACTGGTCTTCTTACAATGCATTAAATGCAGATTTGACTGAAAGGAAAACTACATCTCTAAGGCTCCTATGACATAGTTTCTTTGGAGTGTAATTCAGCCTCCCTTTATTGAGGGCCTATGGGGCAAGAACAGAAGTGATGATATCAGGAACAAGAATAAATACGATTTAAACTTTGACCTCAAGCAGCTTAGAGTTTAACTGGAGAAACCAGTAAGAATAAATAGAAAGATGCAATGAGATACCAGTTGCTTTAAGGTATCTAAGGATGTCACCTTGTTATTGAACAAGGGTGTCCAGGAAAAACTAAAAAAGACCAAAAATGAGTAAAAATCTGTGTTATGTAACATGGATC